ATTTTTTCTGTCTTTTTGATGATTTTTTTCTAGGTCAGAGCTCTCGTCTTCTTTATCCGAGACTTGATATTCTGCGTTATCTAATCTGCTTTTAATACTTTTGAGGGAGGTTTAGATTTCTTCTATTACAACCTTCATCTTTAATAATTTTGTTTGATTTTTTTCCCCAGAGGCTTTTGCTATAGGACGCGTGCGCTCGCCAGACAGAGACAGAGAGACAGAAAGTGAGAAATCACCCTCCCCCCCCAGGGGGATGGCCACGCCGCAATCCCTTCTCCTTCATTCTCCTCTCGGGATCTTGGGCACGCACACACACGCGCCTGGCGTGAGTTTAAGCCACTGGGTCTGGGACGCGAACCGCTGTTGACTATGTGGGAATCTAGCGACATAGCCATTATGCTAACTGCTGGTCCCTTGTTTGATTCTTTTTTACGATGTCTAATTCTTTCATATAATGGAAGGACTTCCTCACCTCCTGAAGTTCAATGTCTCTTTTCTTTTGCCCCTCATAAAAGTTTTGCCGCCATAAATATTCTGAATTCTTTTTCTGACAATTTGGTGACGTTATTTAATCATTCCATACTTGGAGACACATTTCTGTGTTCCCCTGTTGGAGATGTATTACTTGGTTCTCTCATCCTTGAGGCTCTTCTCTGATTTTTAGTCATTTGGTAATGTATTAACTTTTGACTAATTTGTTGGAGAAGTTTTCTGTAACTCTGATCTGGTGTGTTTCCTGTGAGGTAATTGTATGCTAATTTCTCTCTTCTACTGTGTTTTGCAATGTGGTATCTAAAGGAGGAGTTTTGAGTTCAGATTTTGTGGTGTAGAAGGAGCAGGACACTGGCTAGGTGCTTCTCCGCTGTGATGCTGGGCCCAGAAAAGGGCAGGCATGCCTTAGGTGGATATGTCTGCTATAACCCTCTCTTTTGGGGTCTGGCAGGAAAGGGGTGCTTCTCAGCAGTTACACGGGCCCAGAAAAGGGAACACCTCAGATTTTTTTTTTTTTTAATTTAAGTAAACAGGACCAGCCAGGTGGTGTGATAATTATGGCAGCTTGATCCCATGTGGCTTAGTGCTTGTTTTGAGTCCCAGACATGGTGGCTTGGAAAATACGCCAGGCGTGTGTGCATGCATTTCCAAAATCCTGAGAGAAGATGGAGGAGAAGGGATTGCAGCACGGCTATCCCCTTGGGGGGTGATTTCTCACTTTCCCTCTCTTTCTTTCTCTCTTTGATCTCTTTGATGAGCACATGCACTCTATAACAACAACAACAAAAAACTAAAACAAAAATTTAAGCAAACAATTCCATGGTATTTAGTATATTTGCAATGTTGTTCAAACATAATGTCTTATCTGTTTAGTCCCAAAACTTCCATCATTGAAAAATAAAACCCTAAACTCATTACACAGTATCTCCTCATTGGCCCTTCTCCCAGCCCCTAGTAATCCCAATCTGTTATGACTCTTTTTATTTATTCTACCTGTTTGATACAAATGGAACCAAACAATGTGTAACATTTTATGTTTAGCTTCTTTCATTTAGAGTGGGATTTATCCCTCTTGTTTCTTTTCATTGCCAAATAGTTTGTCATGGTACATCTATGTCATAGTTTATCTGTTCATCTGGTTTATCTATTCATTTGGGTTGTTTAAACCTTAGGGTAATTGTGAATAGTGCTGCTATGAACATGCTTATACAAGTACTTGTTTGAGTCTCTGTTTTCAGTTCTTTTATTATTATTATTATTATTTAAAGAATTGTTTTCATGAGGGCATGTGCTCATTGGAGACAGAGACAATGAGAAGAAAAGTGAGAAATCACCTCCCAGGGAGGATGGCCATGCTGCAGTCCCTTCTCCTTTATTCTCCTTGATCTTGGGCCGCATGCACATGTGCCCAGCGGGTCTGGGGCTTGAACTGTGGTCTGCCTTGTGGGAGTCCAGCATCGTAACCACTATGCTATCACTAAAACAGCTGGCCCCTGTTTTCAGTTCTTTCGGAAATATGCCTAGGAGTGCACTTGCGTTATATGGTAAGGCTATGTTTGACTTTTTGAGGAACTGTCAAAAGACCATTTTCCATAGCAGCTGAACTATTTTATGTTCCCAGCAGAAATTCACAAGTACTAATTTTTCCCCATCTTCACCAACACTTGTTATTTTCTCTTTGTTGTTTTTGGCTTTATTTTGCTCAAGGGCATGTTCGCTCACCATAGAGAGAGAAAGAGAGAGAGGGGAAGTGAGAAATCACCCCCTGGGGTGATGGCCGTACTGCAGTCCCTTTTCCTCCATTTTCCTTCTGAGATTTTTGGCATGCGTGCACATATACCCAGCGTGATTTTCAAGCCACTGTGTTCTGGGACTCTAACCATGCCATGGCCATGTGGGACCCAGCCACTTCAACCTCCATGCCACCTACTCGACCTGTTGTTGTTTTGAATACCTGTCCTTGCATATAAAGTGATATCTCATTGTGCTCTCCCTAGCATTTTCCAAGTGACTAATGGTGTTGAGCCTCTTTTCATGTGTTATTGGCCATTTGTTTGTCTACTTTAGAGAGAGATCTATTCAAGTCTTTTGCCCATTTTTAAATGGAGCTGCCATTTTCTGTTGTGAACTTGAAAAAATTCTTTATATATTATGGATCCTAGAGCTTTATGAGATACATATATTGCAAATATTTTCTCCCATTCTTTTGGTTACCTTTTGTTTTCTTGATAATATCACTTGATGCACGTGGGTTTTCTATTTTGACAAAGTTCAGTTTATCTGTGTTTTTTTTTTTGTTGTTGTTGCCTGTGCTTTTAATGTCATATCTAGAAATCCATTACCAAATCCAAAGTTATGAAGATTTTTCCTGTGTCATCTTCTAATAATTTTATTTTTTTAGCTCTTATATTTTGCTCATTGACCCATTTTGAGTTAAAATTTTCTATATGGTTTGAGTTAGGGAATCCAACTTCATTCTTTTCTATGTGACTATCCATATAGTAGTGTCTTTTTTCCCCCTAAGAATTATTTTATTTTAACTTCATTTGTTTGTTTATTTTAATTTGACCAGAGAGGGACAGAGTGAGAATGAGAGCGAGAGTGAGAAAGAGAGAGAGAGAGGGAAGGAAAGCAAGAAAGCAAGCTGCCAGGTCCAGGACTCGAACCATGGTTGGCCATGTGGCAGTCCAGCACCCTTAACAACCATGCCACCTGCTGGCCCTACAGTAGTGTCTTAAATGTCCAGTAATAAGTACTTCAAAATTTAATGAAAATCTCTACAGGGTGAATACTGCATACTATAATAATTAAGGACAAAAGTAATTTCATTTGATGGGTTTAAAATGTTTTTCAAGTGGCTCACCGCCCCACGACCCAGCTTGCCCAGCGTTCGCGCCTGCCTGCCGGCTAAGGTTTCAACAGATATCACCAAAATGCCATCTCAAATGGAGCACGCCATGGAAACCATGACGTTTACATTTCACAAGACCTGAGATTACTCATGGAAAAGGAGTTCCCAGAATTTTTGGAAAATCAAAAAGACCCTCTGGCTGTGGACAAAATAATGGAGGACCTGGACCAGTGCCGAGATGGCAAAGTGGACTTCCAGAGCTTTTTTTCACTAATTGCAGGCCTGATCATTGCATGCAACGACTATTTTGTAGTACACATGAAGCAGAAGGGAAAGAAGTAGGCAGAACCGACCGATCACTCCTATCCTGCTTAAGAGTTTTCCCACAGGGTCACTTAAGGAATCCACTTTGCAGCTCTCCCTGTATAAGGATTTCATGAACGGATCAGGACCCTTAGAAAATGTACAAAGAAAATTCGACTCCCATTTGACAAGCAGAGAGAGAAAAAAGCGAATAAAATGCCAGATAAGCTTTTGATTTTTATATTGTTTGCATCTTCTTGCCCTCAATAAATAAAATCCTTTTTTAGTTAAAAAAAAAAGTTTTTCAAGTTTCTTTCTGTCTTCTATGACTGAGAGACAGAGAAAAAAGCACTCCAATGGAGTCTCAACACTGTGATCCACCCCCCTCCTTTGCAATCCAGATCATGGATACGCATGTGCCTGGAATACACAGGGAAGTCTCTAGACCTGAACTGGTAACCTTCTCATGGGGTATTGCCTCACAGAGTTGCATTTTACTGCTATGTCACTGTCTACTCCTGAAAATTGTTGTAATGGCCCCTTCTTTGAGATCTCCATTAGTAAATTCATCATAGTTCCTTTTAGGCTCACTTTGAATGGTAGGGCCTGGACTACACTCTGTCCTGTGTCCCATCTAAGCTCAGTGTTCCATTGGTTCAGAGTTAAAATTATCCTTAGAACAGTTTCTGCCCAACAGGAAGTATAATGGAGACCTTGGTTATAACAAGCCCTTTTTGGCTCCTCTGCTGCTAAAGCGCTTGCCTAGCGCCCTGGTGCTTCCTCTTTCTCCTGTAGCCAGCTGATGGCTAGAGTTCATTTGACTACTTTCTGCATCATCCACCTCTTGTCTCTGCAGATCAGATTAGATCAGAGTCCTGTCTGATTCCTGATCAGGCAAGGCCTTTTCTTCTTGGGTCTGAAGGTTGTTGCTCCTGATTTCAGTTCACAACTATTCCACCCTGACCCCGTCTCTGGCATCTCTAGATTTTTACATTCTCTTTACTAACCATCTTCTCTATCCATATGACATTTTAGATTCTTTGGGATAATCCTGCAGACATTTTGTTTTCTTTACTTTCGAATGCTCAACATTGTGGTTCATTGTCATTATTTTGTTCCATGTTTTTTGAACTTGACCAGAGAGAGAGAAGGAAAGTAAGAAAGCAAGCTGACAGGTCTGGGACTTGAACTATGTCAGCCATGTGGGAGTCCAGATGCCTTAACCACCACACCACCTGCTGGCCCCGATATTCTCATGCTTACTAAACTTCCCTTTTTTCTCTTTTCTGTCTTCACTTATCTGTCTTCGAGAGACATCACTGAAGAAAAGAGTTTTAAGCATTAGTTTTTACCAATTTGGTCACATAGGAAGTGTGAGAGGTTTGACAAATTTGATAACATGAGTATTTTATTGATTTGTAAACTTTTCTTCTTGTTTTTAAAGAGATTTTTTGCTGTGGGGTGTATGTGTTTGCTGGAGGGACAGGGAGAGTCAGAGAGACAGAAAGTGAGAAATCACCCTCAAGGGGGGATGGCCATGCCACATTCTCCTCTTGAGATTTTAGGTATGCATACACACGTACCCTTGTTTCTGGGTCTGGGTCTGGGACTTGAACCATGGTTGACTACATGGTAGCCCAGCGACGTAATCATTATGCCATCTTTTGTTTGGGTGATACCTTTACTTGGGTCAAAATCAAAATAGTAAAAACATACACTGAGAAGATTTGCTCCCATCATCTCAAGCCACTTGCTCTTTTCTTTGTAATACTCACTTCCAAGTACATCTATTGGATTTCAAGGCCTTTTGTTCCATTGTCAGTTTCTGAATAGCACTAAATTAATAAGTACATTGTGTAATTAAAATATCAGTGTTGAAAGACATATAGTAATGTTGGAGATTTTGTATAGATAACAGTTTACTCGTAAGTCTCAGCTTTCCTCCGTTGTGGCTCCCCTTCTCTTCATATCTGTACTCTGATGTAAATGTAAGTATCAGTTTAAGTGATTACAATCACTCCTTATGATAGAATAAAAATAATGTTGATAGGAAGTTGTGACTGTTGGAATTGAACCAAGGAATTTATATCACCTTAGATATTTTTAAAACTTGCCAGAGGACATATGCACTTGCCAGAGAGAGACAAAGAGACTGAGAAGGAGAGGGAGAAAGCACCTCTGAATAGGGCATGGTCACACCATAATCCTTTCTCTGTTTCTCCCTCTTGTTGGGATTTTGGACATATGGACATACATGGCTGACATGTTTTGAGCCACTGGGTTGAAGACTTGAACCACATGGTTGGCTATGTGGTATCCAGCTCCTTTAACCACCAGGCCATAGGCTAGCCTCACCTTAAATTTTATTTATTTATTTATTTTTAAAGAATTATTTATTTAATTTAAAAAATCATTATTCTTTTTATTTTTAAAATTCAACCAGAGAGAGAGAGAGAGAAAGTGAGAAAGCAAGCCACTAGGTCCAGGACACAAACCATGATTGGCCATGTGGGAGTCCAGTGCCTTAACTACCATGCCATCTGCCAGTCCCTCACCTTACATTTTAAATAGTTTCTAAAAATCAAAGGTTAATCTATATATGTTTCATGAACTTATTCATATTTTATTTTCACAAAGTTGAGCAACTTTCTGCTAGAATTATATCCTAGAGCAAATCTCTCTCTTCTGTGTAACTGTTGCTACTTTCGATATATTTTGTGTTGGAAAAAAATAAAACTTACATAGGAAAAACTGAAGCCAATAATAGCACTACAAATGAAATGAAATCAGTCATCGAATCCTCACTTGCACTTTTTTTATTTTGTTGCTAGAGGGCTTATGTGCTCTCCAGAGAAAGACAGAGAGACAGAGAGAGGGAGAGGAAGAAAGCACACCCTATCTCTCCATGAGATATAGTCATACTGCAATCCCTCTTCTTCTACTTTTCTATCCTGTTGGGATTTTGGATACACATGCCTGGCGTGCTGCTTTTTCTGAGACTCCGGGACTGGGATTCCAACTTTTCTGTTGGCCATGTGGATCTGGTTCTCTTAACCACCAGATCATGGGCTGGCCCTCTCACTTGGACTAATTTGCTGATGAAATAAAATGCTTGTTTGTTTTTTGCTTCTAGATCTGGAATGGAGAGAAATGGAAGGCGATGATTGCGAGCTCCATTATGGAGGTAGAAACTACAGGATTTGGCAGCAGATAGGATTGGGGAAAGAGAAAGGGAGTGGGTAAAGTAGAAAATAACTAGAATTTTATATTTTGAAAACTTGAGAGAAGTTACAGTCTTGATAAGACAGAAAGAGGAGTCTGGGTTTAGCTAAATTATTCTTTTAACAATCAAAGGCATGTTATTTGATTGACACTTAGTTTTCCTTTGCTTTTTCCACAGATGGTACAAATGAAGCTCAGGACAGTGACTTTCCAACAGGTACATGTCATCACTTTTTGTTTGTTCTCTCTCTGTTCTAGTTTCCTGCTCTCTTAAAGGGGATTATCATTTAGGCTGATGGCTTCCACACTTGACCACATCAAATCATCACAGAGCCTCAGATTTAGGAGTGCCTCATTTGTTAACTTTTTTATGCATTATTAATATTTCTGAGAAAACATACCCTTGGGAACTTGCCAACCATATAGAATAGCTAGGTCCTTGCCCTAACCCTCCCAAACATACCTGCTACCTGTAGTGGGTTAGCATCTTCTGAGTTGAAGCCCAGGAGTCTGTTATTTATTTTTTAAAATTTTTAAATATTTTTAATGTCATTTTCTTTGATACAGTCAATCACATTATTTAGCTTACAAAGTGAATATTCCAACATGTGAACATTATTCCCTAGTCCAGTTGATAAAACTATAAAATTATCTTCAACAGATAATACCACATTTCTTTGGCCCATTAATGCTTTGCCTCTCTATTTTTCTTCTAAATGTCCTTCTTCAGACTCTATTCTTACATACACACTATATCTGGTATTCACGTCCATTTATTGTGTCTCTATATCCTTTAGTCAAACAGTTTCTGTCATAGAGTGCGGACACTCAGTATAAAGTGGGGACATACAATGTCTCTCTTTCATAGCCTGGCTTGCTTCACTCAGCAGTAAATCTTCCACATTCTTCCACTTTCTGTCAAAAGCCAATGTCTTGTTGTTTTTTATGGCTGAGTAGTATTCCACAGAGTATATGTGCCAGTTTTTCAATCCATTCATTTGTTTGTGGGCATTTGGGTTGGTTCCATGTCTTAGCAATTGTGAATAGTGCCGCAATAAACATTGATGTGCAAGCACCTTTGCGATGAAGAATTCTTCTGTCCTTTGGGTAGATACTAAGGAGTGGGATTGCTGGATCATATGATAGTTTTATTTGTAGTTTTTTGAGGAATCTCCAAATTGTTCTCCACAGAAGCCGGACCAATTTACATTCCCACCAGCAGTGTAAGAGAGTTCCCCTTTCACCACACCCCTGACAGCACTAGTCATGTTTTGTTTTTTTAATCTTGGTCATTCTGACTGGGGTTAGGTGGTATCTAATTGTTGTTTTGTTCTGTATTTCCCTTATAATGAGAGAGGTTGAGCATTTTTACATATGACTTTTGACTATTTATATGTCATCCTTAGAGAGTGTTTTTTTTCAACTCATTCTCCCATCTTTTAATAGGGTAGATCATCTTTTTTTCGGAACAGCTGCTTGAGTTCCTTGTGTATTCTGGTTATCAACCCCTTATCTGATGCATAGTTTACAAAAATATTTTCCCATTCTGAGGGCTGTCTATTCACAACAATTACTGTGACTTTTGCCATGCAGAAACTTCTTAGTCTAATATAATCCCACTTGTCTATTTTGGGGATTATCCACTGTGCTTTGGGCTTCTTATTTAAGAAGTCTTTACCTACCTCAGTGTTTCCCAGAGTTTCCCCAGTTGTTTTCCAGGAACAGTTTTATAGTTTGAGATCTTAGGTTTAGATTTTTGATCAACCTTGAGTTGATTTTTGGCAAAGGTGAGAGGTAGAGGTTCACATTCACTTTTCTCCAGGTGGAAATCTAGTTTTTGCAGCACCATTTGTTGAAGAGGTTTCCTTTTTCCCACTGGATTGACTGGTACCCCTTGTCAGAAATCAGTTGACTGTATGTTTGGGGATTTATTTCAGGGGACTCTATTCTGTTGCATTGGTCCACCTGTGTAAATACCATGCTATTTTGATTACCACAGCTTTGTGGTATATTTTGGGGTCTGGCAGTGAGATGCCACCATTCCACTCTTGTGCAGGATTGCTTTGGCAATATGGGGACTTTTATGATTCCAGATAAATTTTATGATTGTCTTTTCTAGATCTATGAAGAGTGTGTTTGGTACTTTGATTGGGATTGCATTAAATATGTAGATTATTTTGGGTAAAATTGCCATTTTGATTATATTAATTCTTCCAATACAAGAACATGGGATGTTGTTCTACTTTTTTGTGACATTTTCAATTTCTTCTTTGGTTAGATTTATTTGTAAGTGTCTTATACTTTTTGTGGCTATGGTAAATGGAATAACTTTTTTCAGTTCGATCGCAGTCTGCCTGTTGTTTGTATATAGAAATGCTATAGATTTCTGGATGTTAATTTTCTATCCTGCAACTTTATGGTATTCATGTATTACATCCAGGAGGTTTATCATGGATACCATTGGGTCTTCTATGTATACAATCATGTCATCTGCAAATAGAGTTTCACCTCTTCTTTTCCTATTTGAATGCCTTTTATTTTCTTCTCTTTTCTGACTGTGTTGGCGAGGACTTCCAGTACTATATTGAAAAGCAGTGGAGAAAGTAGGCATCCTTGTCTTGTACCTGTTTTTAGTGGAAAAGCTTTCAGCTTTTCTCCATTTAGGATGGTGTTTGCTATGGGTTTTTCATAGATAGCTTTTATTGTATTGAGAAATGACCCTTCTATGCTGATTTTGCTGAGTCTTGATCATGAAGGGATGTTGTATCTTATCAAATACTTTTCCTGTATCATTTGATATGATTTTTTTTAATCATTCTTTCTGTTAAATGGTTTATTACATTTACGGTTTTGCCTATGCTAAACCAACCTTGCATTCCTGGAATAAAGCCTACCAGATTGTGATGTATAATCTTTTTTATAAGTGGTTGGATACGATTTGCTAGTATTTTGTTGAGAATCTTTGCGTCTATATTCATCAGAGATAATGGTCTATAGATTTCCTTCCTTGTCCTGTCCTTATCTATTTTAAGGGTAAGGGTGATGGAGGCTTCATAGAATGAATTAGGGAGAGATTCACCCTTTTGGATCTTTAGAAATAACTTGAGCAATATGCAGGTTAACTTTTCTTTGAAAGTTTTGTGGAATTCAGAGGTGAAGCCATCAGGACCAGGGCTTTTCTTTGTTGGGAGGTTATTTATTATGGATTCATTCTCCTGGCTTGTTATTGGCCTATTCAGACTTTCTACAGTCTTGATTGTAAGAGTATAAGTATCCAGGAATTTGTCCATCTCATCCAGGTTTTCCTGTTTCTTGGCATATAATTTTTCATAGTATCCTCTAATGCTGTTTTGTATTTCTACTATGTCTGTGGTTATACTGCCTGCTGCATTGCAGATTTCTTTCTCTCTTCTTAATAAGTCTCGCTAGAGGTGTATCAATTTTGTTTATCTTTTCAAAGAACCAACTTTATTTTTATTTATTTTTGGTATAGTTCATTTATTTTCTATTTCATTTATTTCTGCTCATATCTTTTTTATTTCCCTTCTCCTGGAGTTTTTTGTATTTTTTTACTTTTGCTTTTCCAATTCTCTGAGGGATGATGTTAGGTGATCCATTTGCCTTCTTTCTGTCTTTTTCTTATGTGCACTAATTGCTCTGAACTTCCCTCTTATGACTGTTTTAGCAGTGTCCCAAAGATTATGGAAACTCATGTTCTCATTGTCATTGGCTTCCATGAATCTTTTGATCTATTTCTTAAGTAGTTGTAGAATCATTCAGGTGTAGGCTATTTAGTTTCCAAGTATTTGAGTATTTTTGAGGATTTCTCTTGTAGTTAAACTCAAGGTTAATTCTATCATGATCAGAGAAAATGCTATAGTTTCTATGCCTTTGAATCTGTAGAGGCTTGCCTTGTGTCCTATCATGTGGTCAGTCTTCAAAAAAGTTACATGTGGGGGTGTGAGAAAAGTATATCTTGTGGTTTTTGGATGGAAAGTTCTATAGATGTCTTTTAAATCCATTTGATTTATGGTATAATTTAGATCCTTTATCTCTTTACCTGTTTTTTGTCTCAACGATCTATCCAGAGTGGATAGTGGAATGTTGAGGTCTCCAACAATTAGTGTGTTGTAACCTATCTCTCCTTTTATATCTAACAGTCTTTCCTTCATGTATTTGGGTACTCTTGTGTTAGGTGCATAGATATTTATAAGCGTTATATCTTCTTGATTTATTGACCCTTTTACCACAATATAGTGTTCTTCTTTGTCTCTTTGAACAGTTTTTGTTTTAAAGCTTATCTTGTCAGAAGTTAGAATTGTGGGGACCAGCAATTAGTGTAATGGCTATGTTGCTTGACTCTCATGTAGTCGACTGTGGTTTGAGTCCCGGATCTGGTGGTTTAAAACTCATGCCGGGCACGTGTGCTTGCATTCCCAGAATCCCGAGAGGAGAATGGAGGAGAAGGGATTGTGGTGTGGCCATCCCCCACCAGGGGTGGTGATTTCTCGTTCTCTGTCTCTCTCTGTCTGTCTGATGAGTGCACGCACCCTATAGTAAAAACCTCTCAAAGAAAAAAAAAAAAAAGAAAAGAAAAGAAATTAGATTTATGACTCCAGCTCTTTTTTGGTTCCCACTTGCATGGAAAACCTTTTTCCAACCCTTCACTTTTAGTCTATATATGTCTTTACCCATGAGGTGGGTTTCCTGTTGGCAACAGAAAGAGGGTTTCTGTTTTTTTACCCATTCAGCCTGTCTGTGTCTCTTGATAGGAGAATTTAATCCATTGACATTCAGTATTATTATCGATATTTCTGGACTTGTCCTGATGTTTAAGTTGGCAATTGCCTTGGTTGCATTTTATTCCTTTGTTTCTGGCTGTTCATTCTTTAGTTTTACTGGGATAGTACTCTCTTCAGGATTTTGTAAAGAGGTGGTCTGGTGTTGGCAAATTCTTTCAGGTTTTGTTTGTCAGAAAAGATTTTAATATTTTTTTCCCATATGAAGGATTATCCTATAGGATATACTAAACTTGGTTGAAATTGTTTCTCTCTTAACACTTTCAATATGTCTTTCCCTTCTTTCCTTACTTGCATTGTTTCCATTGAGAGGTCTGAAGTTAGCCTGATGGGATGACCTTTGTAAGTCACTTCTCGTTTCTCTCTCACCGGTTTTAGTATCATATCTTTATCTGTGGTCTTGGACAGTCTGGCTAAGATATGCCCTGGGGAGGATCTTCTGGGGTTAATTCTGTTTGGGTCCTTTGTATTTCTTGGATCTGGATGGTTGAGTGCCTCTCTAGACTTGGGAAATTTTCTTCCAGGATTTCATGGAATAGATTTCCATGCTGTTATTAGTTTCTTCACCTTCTGGGATGCTAATTATTTGGATGTTTGGGCATCTAATGGAATCTAGTATTTCTTGTATATTATCCTCATGGGGTTTTTTTTTGTTGTTGTTATTTTCTTTATCTTTTTGGTGTTTTTTTTTCCTAGGTCAGAGGCTTTATCTTCTACATCAGAGATTCGATCTTCAGCATGGTCTAATTGACTTTTAATGCTTTCTAGAGAGTTTTTGATTTCCTGTATTACTGACTTCATCTTTAATAGTTCCATCTGATTATTTCTCAAAATGTCCATTTCTTCTTTCATATTGTGGAAGGACTTCCTAATCTTTCATAGTTCGTTGTTTCTTTTCTGTTCCAACTTATAAAATTTGGTCACCATGCCAGCAGTTAGCGTAATGGCTATATCGCTAGACTCCCATGTAGTCAACCATGGTTCGCATCCCGGATCCGGTGGCTAAAAACTCACACCAGGCGCATGTGTGTGCATGCCCAAGATCCCGAGAGGAGAATGAAGGAGAAGTGATTGCGGTGTGGCCATCCCCCCCTGGGGGTGATTTCTCGCTTTATGTCTCCTTTGCTCTGTATGCCTGGTGAGCACATGCGCCCTATAGCAAAAACCTCTCCAAAAAAAGAAAAAAAAAATTTTGGTCACCATGAATGTTCTCAATTCTTTCTCTGTAATTTTGGTAACATCGTCCGTTTTACCAGACATGGAGGGGAGTTACACTGTTCCTTTGATGGAGACATCTTTCCGGGTTTATTCAGACCTGAGGCTCTTCTACTTCTAGCCATTGGAAGATGTATTCACTTTTGAATACGTCTTAGAGAAAGTTTCTTCGACTAGGAGCAAGTGTGTTTCCCTTTTGCTGTGAATTGATGTGTGCCGAAGTCTCTTCTGTTGTTTTTAGCAATGTGGTCTCAAGAGGGGTACTCTATTCAGGTGTATGAAGAGCAGCATCTCCTTTTTCACAGGTGGTTCAGTACAAGGGAGGATCCCAGAGAACCTTACATTACTATGGAATTTCAGAACTGTGATTCTAGACCTGTCTAGTCCTTCTGTCAGGGTGGAGGATGGGGAGGAGAGGATAATATATGAAGAAAGAAAAGAGTACAGAGGGGAATAAAGAAAAAGCCCGCCGCATGATATCACCACGGGCCTGGAGATGGAAATGGAGCCTGATGCAGAGCAAAGGCCAGTCTTTGGCACAAGGAAGATGAGAGTATTAGCAAAAGAATGGAGAAGAACAAAGAAAAAACTAGAAGGAAGAAACTGCCTACCTGTCTAGGGGGCTTGGTCTTGGGCTAGGGAGCCTGTAAGTGAGGTGGGGGGTAGTGGTTCCTCTGCCTCAACATTGCTTGCTGGTCAGGGGCCTGGAGATGGAACTGGAGCCTGTAGCAGAGCAAAGGCCAGTCTGTCTAGGGAGCTGGGTCTTGTGCTAGGGAGCCTGGAAGTAAGACGGGGGCAGCAGTGCCCCTGCCTCAACATCCCTTGTTGGCCAGGAACCTGGAGATGCAACTGGAGCCTGCTGCAGAGCAAAGGCCAGTCTTGAGTCTTTTTATTTTTAATAAAAGTTTGAAGTGATTCTAATGCATAGTCAGATTTGAAAACCATTCATCTATTCCAGTGGCTCTGCTTGCAGACTAGGAAACTGGGACTAGTGCTGCCAAGCCACCTGCAAGGGCCACACAGCAGGCATGTGTGCATGTGTAAATAGGTTTGTTTGCTCTGGTTTCTTCACATTGCCTTTTACTACCATGCCACTTAAAATATAAAAAGAGCTATTCCACATCTGGATAAGAAAAATGGTATTTAACTGTGATAGCTGACATTCTGCTTAATCATATCATCCTCTTTTCAAGTCAAATACAGAGGCTTCCCAATTTAGGATACTTTGACTTTACAATGGTGGAAAAACAGTGTGCCTTCGTAGAAGCTGTGATCCCAGCATAAGTTAAGGGACTTTGACTTAATGATAGTTCTAACTTACAGAGCATTTCCAAGTAGCTGTATTTCTAACTTAATGAGCTTGTCAGGACACAAACCAGTTGTGAATCAGAACATCAGTATTTTCCAACTTATTTGCAAAGAGAAAAGATAGTAACTAGAAAAACAGAGGGTGAATCAGTGGCTGTGCCCTGCTGTGGGAACTTCCTAATGACATTGAGGGACCTCAGGGCTGAACTGGATATGGGCATGGAGTCTCAGGGCTGTCCTCTAAGCAGCTTGTTGTGTGGCTGTGGGTGTATTCAGCATTCAGGACACATGCTGCTCACTCCAGTGAACTTGAGCTCATTGTGGTCAGATCTGCAGGTTTTTAGGAAAGTATAACCTCGCCTTTTACATAACCCTCCCAGTGTTTCAGTGTGGCTCAGTTTCCATTTCTCCTTTTCTTTTTTCCTAGGTTTTTGCCATAGGGTGCATGCACTTACTGGAGAGAGAGAGGGAAAGTGAGAAATCATTCCCTGGGAGAGATGGCCACACTGCAATCCCTTCTCCATTTTCCTTATAAGATTTTGGGCACGCACACACATATTCCAGGCATTATTTTTAAGCTGCTGGGTCTAGGACTTGAACTGTTGTCAGCCATGTGGGAATCTAGTGCCTTAACCCCACATGTCACCTGCTGGCACCTCTAATTTTTTTTTAATCTTGCTGGAGGGTATGTGCACTTGGAAAGGGAGGTGGGGGGAGAGAGAAAGCATCCCATCGTGGGGAAGAGTCACATTGCAATTGTTTTTCCTCCATCTCTTCCTCCTATTGGGATTTTGGGTATCCATGTACTTGAACCCAGTGTATTTCTCAAGCTGCCGGATCTGGAACTTAAGCACACAGTTGGCCAAATGGGATCCAATTGCTTTAACCACTGAGCTATGGGCTGGCCCTTCTCTCATTTTTTTTCAGTGTTCCATTAGAACTGTGGTTGGGATCTGCCCCTGCCTCATCTCAGTGCAGCTCTGGGCCCTCCGAAGTGCCCCTGAGCCTGCCTCCTGGTTTCTGAAGAGGTAACTGTCCCTTTGCTAGGCTTTCTCTGTCAAGCAGCACAGGGTGATACTAATATCCTTGTTCTTTCCACAGTGGAGCGAAGCAGGCTTCAGGAAATGCTGTCACTGCTGGGGCTGGAAACATACCAGGTTCAGAAACTCAGCCTGCAGGACTGTTTGCAGATCAACTCTGATAGCATGAGGAACTGGGCCCCACAAGTTCCAAAAGACCTGCCTTGGAGCTTCCTCCGGAAGCTGCAGGCCCTCAACACCGATGCCAGAAATACCACCATGGTGCTGGATGTACCACTGGACATCCGACCAATTGAAAAGGAGAGCCAGATGGAAGAGGAGATCATCTACTGGGACCCAGCAGAGGATCTTGCTGCGGACATCTATTCCTTTTCTGAGCTTCCCACACCTGACACCCCAGTGAACCCCTTAGACCTGCTCTGTGCCCTTCTGCTGTCCTCTGACAGCTTTCTACAGCAGGAGATTGTGTCAAAGATGTCCCTTTGCCAATTTGCACTTCCCCTGGTGCTGCCTGACTCGGAGAACCATTACCACACCTTCCTGCTGTGGGCTCTGCGGGGTCTCATGAGGACATGGTGGTCTCAGGCCCCTCGGGGGGTGGGGGGATTCCGAGAAGACAGCGTGGTCCTGTCTAGGACACCCGCCTTTGCCTTTGTGCGCATGGATGTCAGCAGCAACTCCAAGTCCCAGCTCCTGAACGCTGTACTCAGCCCAGGCCACCGGCACTGGGACTGTTTCTGGCATCGAGACCTCAACCTGGGTGCCAATCCCCGTGAGATCGCTGATGGGCTAGTGGAAATCTCCTGGTTTTTCCCCAGTGGCAGCGAGGACGTGGATCTTTTCCCAGAGCCTGTGGCCTTCCTGAACCTGCGAGGGGACGTGGGGTCCCACTGGCTGCAGTTCCAGCTCCTGACGGAGATCTGCGCAGCCGTGTTCATCCTGACTGACAA